TATGTATTATGTGCAAATGTCTACTGACATTCCCTTGGATCTTCTGCCGTCTGTGTATTTCGGTCTCTCCCTATGAGCCTGTGTTTTTTTGGTATGAATTATGCACTGCTGTGTTTCCCCTGATAAGGCTAAGTGTGACAGTTTGAGCTCGCTGATATATCAGCTGTGATTGATGGATGTTTTTCGGGGTTTGGTTGTTGATGGTGTCTGCAATTCCAAGAAGAACGGTCTTCACAGAATCTGAGGAAAACACTCCTGTTGAAAAGTGAAAGCTTTGTAGATAGCATAAAATACACAAAGCCAGTACTGCAATTAAAGGTTCTCCACTGTCACACTATTTCTCCAAGCCTTATCGTGATATTTACAACCTGCTCACTTCTAGCCCTGAGCCAGTAGATCATTGGCTTAGCTTAGCTTAGCTTTGCTTAGCATACAAATTGAAGGCAGAAGAAAATAGCACGACTGGCTAGGAGGTACATCCTAGAACTATATTGTCAACAATAGTGACTTCCTCCTTTGGGGTGTGAGAACCTATGACAACACCCATCAGTTTGTGGAGTACCATTTTGAAGCCTTAAGTTTGGCATTATGGCTGTTGCCTTGCTGTTGTTTTTGCAGCCAATGGCGGTATCATACTGCAAATTGAGCTGCTTTCATTGGCTGCGCAGTTTCAACTCCCTAGCAGAAAACAATGGCAGCTCGCCTGGTCACACACAATCTCGTATTACAGATAAATAGTACACTAAGATATAACAATTTTTTTTTTTAAGTATATTTTTTGGGGCTTTTAATGCCTTTATTATAGTGACAGCTGAAGATTGACAGAGAGGGGGGATGACACGCAGCAGGGGGCTGCAGGTCAGGTTCGAACCCTGGATCGCTGCAGCAAGGACTCAGTACATGGGTCGCCAGCTCTACCCACTGAGCTATCTGGGCACCCAGATATAATGATTTTAAATTAGAAATAGGCAATGTAGAAACAGAATCTGGATCATATGCACTGCCTAGTTTGACAGTTTGATCTGAGTTTGGTGCGTTGAGCTGGATGGACTCACTGAGCATGACCTGTCAATCACAAGGTAGCCCCGCCCTAATGGGACCATCATTTACTAATTGAACATCATGCTGTATGGAAGAAGACTGAAACTAGAGATTGATATAAACTCACATAAAAAAAAATTAGGAAACTGTTTACTGTGATGATAAATCAAATGAGAAGTTGGGTTATTTCTCCATGAGACGTTGTCCACTAATATTTATTATGATACTAATTAAGGTTCCATCCCATTTAGTGTAGAAGAGGCTTTCTAGAGAGCCAACATGCACAGTAGCAGAACCTTAATTAGTATAATTGATAACACCTGTCTTTACCCTACTATTTAATTTCAAAATGGCTGCTGTGAAAAAGTTCTGCTATGTCAGTGCTCTTGACAGAGCCATGCTTACTGTTTCCGGTCTTCATGTGAAGCTAAGCTATGCAGCCGCTGGCGCTAGCTTCATATTGAGTATATTGGGAGGGGAATCAATCTTCTTTCAATTGTCTAGCTGGGTAAGAAAGCAAGTGTATTTCCCAAAATGTCTAACTATTCCTTAACTCAAGGTCCTCTTATTAGCTTTTTTTGTGCACTGCATTTAGAGATGTAGACTGCATTTCACAGTCTTCATCTGAGCAACGTCCATACGCTGATGAAGACCATGAGATGTGATATAACACACCCCTTTCATAAACAAATCCGGGAATGTATTTGAATTTATTTTGGAGATTTCAAATAAGTGAACTGCATGATAAAAATGTAAATAATACAAACATGCTTTATGTGAATGTCTGGTAATAACCAAAATGTTTTCTTCACATCTCATTTCCTATCTGTAGTATAATAAGCAGCTTGGTGCTTTCTCTCCATTTTTCACTTCATTTTCTATTAATGGAAGCTTTTTTCTGAGCCGTACTCACCACCAGATGACCTTGTTTACTGTAAACTGGTGTGAACAGTGTCCTTCAACAACAGGAATAAACTAAATATCAAGAACATTCCATTCAAATTTGTTGAAACTTTCCATTTCTTTTGAATTATCCATGTATTTTTGGTGAAACCTAAACCATAAATAGCTAATTTTAATGAGGAAAGTCTGCAAATTGCAGCTTAAATGCCAGGCAGCAGTGCAATAAGTGAATATGTCTGGATTAGAGTTTATGTTGGGAGGTAAGCCTTCTGTTTGCTTCCTTTCGTTAATTCACTGACTCTCTCTCTGCATGTTCAGTCCTCTGTTTATGCTGAATGGAAGATTCATCGATAGGAGGGATAAACAGTGCTTTGACCAATTACCATCATAGTCATATTAACTTACTTCATGTCTGAAATATAACATAACCACAGGTCATAACCTCAGTTCTAAGTTCAATGTCACAGACTGCCAGGAGGCTGAATTTACTGAGTTAAATCACTGTCTGCTAATCTGCCAGACCATCACACATCAAGTCAGTAAATTGTTCAGACAGTAAAACAATCTGTCAGTCAGTCAGCTGGAAGCGCAGCAGTCATGCCAGTCAGGCCTATTGGTGAGTCAGCGGGTCATCTTCATCTCTCACCCAGTCAACCAATCAACCAGCAAGTTGATCAGTAGCAGGCGGAAAGTCAGTCGCCTTACTAAACAGTCAGCTGTTCTGTCATAACATGAATCATTACTGTACACAAAGGTTTTGACTGCACAGAAGAAGATTGCTAGGATGGAGGAGGCAGTGATGATTGCTATTCTGATATAGATGTGCTATTCAGAGGATGAGCCTGTCTAACAAAAGAGTCTCATTTTGGGAGAAAATAGTAAATTGTTATGACAAATGGCTCATACAGTGGTGTTTTGTTGATGAGTGTTTTTGAAAGGATACAAAGAACAGACCGTGGATGCAAAATATATGTATGACAGACCATGTATCGTCCTTGTCCTGTTTTTCTATAATTGGGGACAGTGTGTAGGTGTAGTTCTACAGTCAAAATTGAGGGTAAAAGAATAGATTATTAAAGCAAATTATTAAAAATAAGACAACAGCATCATCTTGCTCTTTTCATTTTACAAGCTTTAAAGCTGCAGTAGGTAGCTTTTATAAACTTTGTGTTGATGTAGTGAAAGTTTAACAAATATGACAAAAAGTTATGTTATAAAAGTAACCAACTGCAGCTTTAAGAAGTTTGGATTGAATTAGATGAAGACAACATTACAAGCTATCATATTATTTGTCAGTTGTTTGTACAATTGCTTAACAATAAAACTGGAGACATTACCTTTCCCTACTGCATGTTTAAATATGCAACATGTGTGAGGATAATGCTTGTACAACATAGTGGGGAGTTTCCGCTGTGTCAGCCCTGTCTCCCAAAAATTACATTTATTTACAACTAATTTACAACAGCAAGTACGTTTTGAGGAATTAACATAAGGAAATGTTGTTAATTGACATATTTAGCAAAACTGTTTATCAGAAACAGAAAACAACAGAAACAAAACGTATCAGTACAATCTTTACAGACAAATAAATAGGCAATTGTAGTGGCTGAAGCATTGTTTTTATGGTTATATTTGGGGAAAGGCTGTGGTGTGTTTTACAGAAAAACAGGAAAAGGAAGCAGTAATATTGTAAGTATACTGTAATATAATATGTATATTACATTTAACCAAAATTACAGTCTTTCTTTACCTTAACCAAAGGGCTTTTGTTGCCTAATCCTAACACAGATAACACAGATGCAAACTCGGGACTGTGGTGTGACAATCCTGAACTTTGTACACCCGCCATCCACCCAAACCACTCCAGAACGGTACATTAATGCAGTCTCTAATGTAGTAAAATGTTGTCTCTGAACATGAAATGGCAGCAATTACACTGTCATCACAAGGCAACGCAGTTATGAAAGCAATTTAGTAATATACAAATGTACTTTCCAGGAGACGGGGTTGGCTGTGTGGTTTTATGGAGTCATTTTGTTGCTGCAGATGTGACACTGCGTTAACTTAAAAGCTTGAGGTTGTTGCTCCGGTGGTCCCTGTGGGATATATGAGGTTACACTGAGGTCACCGCTCTCTCTGTGTCTTCCTAAACCCTCGGCTGTTAACATAAATGAATTAATCCATTCATTATTTATTCATGCTGGCGCAATTGATTCTCTATCCACTCCTGTCCTGTGTTGATATTATAGTCGGTTGAAAAACATTCAAGGGCTGTAAGCTCTGGTTAAAACATCTGTGGGCAGGAAGAGATATGATCTTTTAAACAGCCATGGTTAGCATCACATTGATTGTCATCCTTTTTGTGACCATTTATTACCAGTGCTTCTTGGAAGTAGTTCCACAACCCATTTTCTAATAATAAAACATTGTAATTTCTGTTGTTACTGTAGCTTTTATTAACAAGTAAACTTAACAGAACTTTTGAGAACATTATTAGCTTACATCAACATTTATCTATTAGCTGTTAATTCACATTCATCTATTAACTTCAGACAGACATTCAGTTAATATTCAAGCAACATTAAATGCCATACTCTATAACAATAGCTTTGGCAACAGTGTTTGCTCGTTTATAATATATTTAGTGTGTTGTTACATTGTATCTCAGTTAACTAGTCTACATGCTATTGAATACCAAGGATGGTTTTATTAAATCCAATGTAATATATTGAATTATTTTGGCTTCATTTGGTAAAGACTTTAGATTGGACAGGAAATGCCAGTGTTGAAAGCACTTTGACTGTCTTCAAAAATATAAGCAATACATAAACAGTGTATTATTAAACAATGTTTTGCCTGTGAACATGTGGGAACATGTATTTATTATGCGTTCACAAACATTAGGAAATTTACATGGTTATTTTTTACCCCCAGCATGCTTGCTGTACATCAGTGCAAGTCAATCACTGATCTCCTGCCTCTTTTTATACCCCCCTCTCTCTCACCCTCCCTATTTCCTTCCTCTCTTCTTCTATTGATTTGCTCACTTTCTCCAGGTCCACAGGAAATGGTGATGTTTAATGGCCGCCCCCTCCCGAGGTCATTGGAGTCCTCGCAATCATAGATCCATCATCAACTGAAAAGCTCTCATCATGGAAACCCCCTACCCACAGACAGCAATCCATGACCCCTCCTGTAGATGGTGTAATTGCTGAGGGAGGGGTAGTGAGACTGAGATAAGCTTGCCTGTGAAGATAAAAATCACCCAAACCATGTAGTGTACCTCTCTCTAAGGAGGGGGGAGGGTCTACATTCGAGTCTGATTTATTTTATATTTATTTCTGTTTATGTAATCTCTGGAACAGATTAGTGTTTGCTTGTTTAAAGAGTGTATGTGGGTGTGGACAGAGCGTGCGAGGTGAGGAGAAAGCGACAGAGAGGAAGAAAGAGAGAGAAAGAAAGAAAGAGATGGTCCTCCACACCACCCCTTACTCCAGTGCCTGCCTGCACTTCCTGGATGGCTTGTCGTGGAGCCTGGTGTTCCCCTGCTACTGGCTCCTGGACCGGCTCCTGGCCTCCTGCGTGGCCACCTCACTGGAGAAGCGCCAGCGCTCCCAGGACCCCTGCTCCTTCCTCACCCTGTGTGTCCTGATCTCTGCGCCCCTTTACCTGCTCCTCCTCCTTGCATCCCTGCCCTTCGCTCTGCTGGGCTTCATTATCTGGGCTCCCCTGCAGGCCATCCGCCAGCCCTACCTGTACACCTACCGCAGGTTAGTGTGAACCTTGGTGAAGTAGTGCAGGGTTTTTTAACTATTTGTCTTCAAGTCACATTATAAATGAGACATTGTTAGGGTTAAGAGTAGTGGTAGGTGTTGGGTAATCCCAGTCCTGTTTCTGTGTTGTTAGTTCTAGCTTTCTCAAATGTAGACCCATGTAGACTCATTAAACATTCTGACTTCTCAATTATTCTGTTACCTATTCATTCTCTTTGGTTTTTTTTGCTTAATTCAACAGAACAGACAAAAAGTAATTTTTTTATTGACCTTTTGCTTTGTTCACCATCTAATCCCTCTCAAATATACAACTTTGTCTTTGCTTGTTGTGTGGTAAGGCTGTATATGAACAGTATATAAACATAATTTCTTGATGACAATGTTGACAGACTATGGTAGGTGAATTCCTAGGCTTGAAAGGGCATGAAACCCTAGTAGTTGCATCATCAGTAAAAAAGATAAGCAACTGTAATAGAAGATATCTGGTTCTCTGATTAAAAACAAATCAAAGCTACAAGTAAATGTACATAAAAATGTAAAGCGATACATCAACTACAGCTTCCACCTATACTTTTAAGTACAACATTTTGTTGTGTGTACTAACCTGGTCTCACTCCCAAGTATACTAAGTAAATACTGCAGCTTGGTTACTGTGGTCCTCCGCTTCAAAATATGATGCTGTAGGGGTCTTTGTAGATACGTAGTGTGAAGAGCGAGAAAGTCCACATATGGAGGTGGTGGGGAGGATGAATGGCTCAAACAAGACTTTGCCTTTGAGCAATGCCTTTGAAGCAACATACGTAAATTAACTTGTGTGACATACTTACATCAGGTATGTTACATAAGTTAAGTTTTATTTATGTATTTAAGTTAGGTCAGATATGTAACGTCATCAGCCACCATGTTTCTACAGTAGCCTAGAAAGGACAAAGCAAACACTGGCTCTAGATTAGGGTGCTTTCACATTTTTCGTATGTTTCATGGCCACCATAGTTCCTTCTTTGCACTTGGAAGTGAGGGACTCTGCCACTTAATCCTACACACTAGGCCTTTAAATTATCCAAAAGAGTAAGGTAACATGGATAATTATTCATTGACATTTAATTTAAAATACAATTTATTATTCAGTTAGGTGATCAATCATCAATATGAATTCATCCTTCTCATTGGATAAACACACCACTGACTTGGTCGTCTTTGCTTCTGACATTCATACTAGCTTTCTGGAAACAGCCTGTTTCATTGTCAGTTTTCTCCCAAATTATGCATCTAAATCGGTTTCTGAATCAATTTGAGGTGAAAAATAGGCCATCCAGTTGCAGAGTCACGCTTCATTTTATATCTACACTGCCAGTTGTTCACAAGGTTTGGAGATTTCAAGAGGCAGAAAATGGAGTCATTATGTACTGTAAATAGTTTGCTCATTGGTCTGGCTTCCAGCTGCCAGACTCCACCAGTCCTCAGCGGGTGTTTGGTTATCCAAACACACACCCAAGCGGCTATCCACCATAACCACACACTTTGAAATACTGTATTTGGCTGTTTGCTGTGGAAAAGCAGCAGTCTCTTCCAGTAATCTATATCTATCAATTATCTTAGTTTGGTTCCAGTAATTTTACTGTTGCCCCAAATAATGTGGTAATGGTTTACTGAATTTCATATCTTATCCATATATTATAAGATCAAAGAGCATTGAGGAGTAAAAAGCAAAACCAGAATAGAGTCAGAATTGGGTAGAAAATCATAATGAAATGAAAATAATATTTTTGTCATATGGACAACACAAGAGAAAAGGATATGAAAATAAGAAAGAAAATGTGCCTTAAAATTACATAACACACAAAGACACCATTATTTAGTTTTACAGTATTGCAGTAATACTGTTTGTGTCATGAGTATGACATTTTGGGAATTATGCTAAATATGAAGCGGATTGTTTTAGCTTAGCGTGAAGACTGGAAGCTGGGGGTAATAGCTAGCCTGGCTCCGGAACTATTTCTTGAGGGAATATTTTGCTGAGACTCCAGGAAGACAGTGGCCAGACTAAGAGATAATTCCAGGAAATAACTCTCCGTAAAACCATAAAATGCTGTTTTAACACTCTAACACAGATTAAACGAATGAGATACAGCATGTTAATTAGTGAGCTTTAGGGATGCAATTTATTTACCTTTGGACAGAGCCAGGCTTCAGTCTTTATGCTAAGATAAGCTAATTGGCAGCTGCCTTTACCTTTATACTTATATACAGTATACAAACATCAGAGTGGTATCAACCTTCTTATCTAACCCCCAACCAGAAAGTGAAGATGTGTATTTCCTAAAAATGCCACAAAAACTTTGGTTTGACTTCTTTTTATTTTGTTGCATACCTTGTGCAGACCAGACAAACACCAGGCCGAGCAGGGCCAGGCCGGGCCAGGGGGTGTTGGGATTGGGGAATGGAGGCCACAAGGCAGAAGCTTCTGTTTCAGCAGTGCCAACGTATGCCTGCTGCCCGACTCCCTGGCCAGGTTCAACAACCTGTCAGACACACACCGGAGAGCCCGGGAGGTTGGAAAGAGGATCCGCAACGGTGCCAGTCGGCCTCAGATTAAAATCTACATTGACTCACCTACCAACACTTCCATCAGGTGAGAAGAGCTTGCTCTTGGGCTCTCTCTGCTTATGTCCTATGTCTATTTGAAATATCCGTTAAACAAATACATACTTTATTTCTTTCTGCTTCGTTCATCAGTGCGGCATCTTTCAGCAGCCTTGCCACAGGTTTCCGCCGTACCTCCTCTCTGGACCAGCGACCAGACCATACACACACCACCAATGGCCCAGCCGATAACGAAACCGAACCTCTCACTGAGTGCCCGATTCATTCCTCAGGTGCCACCGACTGCCCCGTTCACCCCTCTGCAGGAGACCAGGGCTCCTCTGAATGCCACCATCACTCAGACCGAGCAGACACGACAGCAGACTGCCCCCTCCACCCTGCAGGGACTAACAGCAACGCAGACTGTCCTGTTCACACCTCAGGGGAGGCTCCAGATTGCCCCATGCATTCCACAGGGGCTCACAATGGCCATGGTCATCATGACTGCCCCATGCATGGAGAGGGGACCCAGCAAAAACCATCCTCAGACTGCCCACTTCACACCTCAGGGGTTCAAATCAGTATCAGCGCCCCAGAACCGGACCCCCAGGAGGAGGAGGCCGAAACAGGGAACCATCGGCCCGGAGAGCAGGCCGGGGGAGACACGGGCAGCATGACTGCCTCCAGGGAATCCCTTGCACGTTACCACGGAAGTGACGGCGGTGTAGGGATATCCTCCAACAACACTCTCTCTCACGTCCCTCGCACATCAATCTTTAAGCGCCCTGGACGAAAACGCCGCCACGGAGATGAGACGTTCGACCACGAGATCTCTGCCTTTTTCCCTGCCAATCTGGATTTCCTGGCTCTGCAAGAGGTGTTCGACCATGGGTCGACGACTAGACTGCGGCGGCAGTTGCATCGCTACTTCCCCTACGTGCTGAGTGATGTTGGGCAGTACGGATGGAAAGGCTGCTGCTCACGGTTCAAATTCCTGAACAGTGGGCTGATGCTGGCTAGCCGCTACCCAATCCTGGATGCACGGTACGAGTGCTACCCCAACGGGAGAGGGGAGGACGCACTGGCAGCCAAGGGGGCGCTGTTCGCCAAGGTCAGAACATTACTTTCTTTACCTCCTCTTCTTGTACTCATACACAAATCTGTAGAACGTGTTGAGGAAATCTTGCAGTGGTGACAAAACTCCAGGAAGTCACTGTGGCCAGCAAGTCCAGCTGGATCAATCTCATTTAACTCTGGGCAATAAAGCAAATTACAACGTTTCCCAAAAATGACGACCACCGCACAATCCGGGAAGCAATAAAATACTTATACTACTACTATAATATTTTCAATCAAATTCTACCTACATGAAAGAAATGTGATTACTGCTCCAATGACTTAATTATCAAGTTTGGAGACAGAAGACCTTTTTGTCATTTTGCCGTTTGCAGTCGTTCTTGCTGAGAGGTCAGTGTTAGAGACAAGTTAAAGAAATGTCATAACTAACATCTATTATCTATCGATCTTTCTGTATTAAGACAGGGCTACTTTTTGGAGGCTTTGACAAGACTGCAAGACAATCATTTTTAGCCAAAAAAATGAAACAACTCTGAACCCTGACTGTTTTCCTGGAATTGTTTTGTCTTTCTATTCACACTGCAGATGTAACAGGGAAAAGATCCCATATCCTCATCTCATTTCACTTCAGACTGAGCTGAATTAGAACTAAATGTCACTGCGGGGCCACTTTTATGCTTTTCCTGCAGCGGGAATGTGTCTGTGCTATGATCGCTTCTCGGTGCCGTTTCAGTTGAAAACTCATCTTGTCATCTCTGACGCCGCTGTTGGTAACTTTGGCAAGGCAGTAATTGAATCTGCCTATTAAGTCTATTTATACAAAATGATCTTATTATACATTTGTGAAAGAGAGTATGAGTGTGAACATGAGTGTGAAAGAGGGACGGAGAATCAGAGTTAAAATGACCTGCCAGCTGTCTGCATTAATTACCATAGAACTTGTATAGCAAAGGCATCGTATTGCAAAACATTTCCACATTCAAATTAAATTTCTCACTACTGTTTCTCTTGACTGTAAAAACTCAGACACACCAGTGTCTATCTGCCCCATTTCATAACCTATTTCTCATGTAAATAATGCCACTCAGTAAATGTTTGCTGCACTATACTAACACAGTGTTACAGTGATGGAGAATCCGCAGACTGCAGACAGTACTTGGTAAATACGCTTACTTACACCCACATCCATTCACACATTACACATCTGTCATTGTGGTGAGTGCACGCACCCCAGTAATTACAGAACACTTCCAACCTTTCCACATCTCCCGCTGCTGTGTGGAAAAAGCAGGAAAAAAAAGAAAAAAAACATGTCATCATCTGTTTTCAAGGTCTTCAGCATTACATGTTTAAGATACTGGCATAATTGCACATGTTTGTATATAGCACTGAAACACAGTGATGATAAACACCATAACATGGCTTATAATTTTCAACTGAAGAAGTTCTGGTTACATTTATTTAGATCTAATTATGCTTTTTTTAAACTGTGTCATGTAAACCTTTGGAAAGTTGGGTGTAGCCACTGGGATGCAACACAGCTATGAAAACACTGTTGGGTATGGACATAACTTACATTCATATCCATTAGCTGGCCCTTCGCAGTTGTGCAACAAGAGGTGGCTGAGACGCTTCCTGCTATGGACGAGTCAAAACTGTGCAGCCAATGAGCGTAGATCAGAGCGTAGATCTGGCTCGCGCTGGCTCCGCTTTACTATCAAACGCCGAACTCGAGGCTTTAAAACGATAATGCACAAACCAATGGGTGACGTCACTATAGGTTCACACTTGGTATGGCAACATGCTTACAATGACAATGCTAACAAAAGAATGTTTAGCAAATAAAATGTTACCATGTTAAGAACCTTAGTTTAGTATACTAGCATGATAGCATAATGCTAATTATCACAAAACACCAAGTACAGCTGATGCTGTTGGGAATGTCATAGTTCTAGTATAGTTCATAGAAAATGTATAATTTTTGACCTGATGGTGGCAGTAAATAAAAAGTCAGGGGATCAGTGGAGCCAGTTGGATTAATCTTATGCAGACAATGAATATCTGTACAAAATTTCTGGACCAAAGGTCACACAAATGTATTATTTATTGAGATGTAAGCATTGTTTCAGTTGCAGTAGCTGAGGGACATCCTGTCATGCTCCCCACTGTAGTCAGAAGGAATGAGGGAGGTTATGGAGTCCATTAGGCACTTTCAGCAGGAAGACGGATCCCATGTAGATATGGCAAGACAAGTCTTAATGCAGAGTGGAGGTACTTTCACACTATTACTGTACAAGTCTAGGAAGCAGGATGCATTTACGGCTTGGCTACCGGTGTACTAATGTGGGCTACATGCAAAGTGATGGGATTTCTACAGTCATACATTCAGTACATTCATGCTTCTTATAAACTCCTTTTTATTCAGTATAATCAGGAAACAGAGAGTTTTCCCAGCAGAGAAAGAGTAGTTTTTCATAGAGCAAAGCTTATAAAGACATAAAACATGCAATGAATCAATGATAAATCAAGCAGCGGTTTTGTGTGTACATCCCATTGTTTGTGTGTGCATACCTGCATGTGCATATGCCCCTGTGATAAGTGTTAGTGTGTGAGTTCATTAATCAGCTACGTACTGTGACTGTCAGGATATGCCTCTGGATCTGATCCAGATCCTGCTGGGACGGATCCGCTTTATGTGACCTGATGCTGATGATGGGTGCCTGTACGTGTGTATGTGTGTGAGCATCTATTTGTTGGTGTCCGTACATGCCCTTACATATACCAGATCTAATAAAGGCCCACTCCATCACAGCTTGCATGCTGACAGTCTCATCCTGTTAGCCCTGCTGCCTGCTGACTGTCACTGCAGCTTACAAGCTGGCCTCACATCCCTATTTCATCGCCTCCTTGTGTATGAGGTCACTCCAGGTCCCGCGACAAGCTGGCTGTCAGCCAGCTGGCAGGTACATATCTCAATGCAAGCTGTTTATACTCCAAACTGACAGAGAAGGAAACCAAACAATGATAAAGAAAATGATTCTCCTTACTGCCGGGAAATGGTTGTTTAGACTGCAGCTAGACTCACATGTCTAACAATCCAGTATAACTAGCACGTCTGCTTTCTTTTGCTGGAAAGCCTCCATAGCTGGTCTTTATACCGGTCAAGAACACATAAAGGATTGGTATACTTAGCTTCCAGAGTGTCAAAAGGTCATCCTGTTTACCCATAACACCTTTGCTTTGCTGGTATGCTTGCTAGAGCAGCATCCCTGTGAACACTGCATAACCTAACCCTGTACCATAAGCAAAATAGTAACGCACATGAGACTATCTCCTATTACCAGAAAAAAATCATGGAACATCTAGAAACAACCCATTTGGTCTGGTGTTCGCAGACAGCTCACATTGTCTGTTTCTTCTTCAGGGTATTGATGTATGCAGTATATGTAAATGCTCGTATAAGTCATTTTATTTCAATTTGATGTTTAGGTATAATGGTTTCTTCCTCCTTTTCCATGAGATGGTGTATTCAGCAAACAATCTTGACCAGACAGTTTCCAAGTTTCCAAATTGCATATAGCCACTATTAATTACTATCAACCTCTCCAATGATGATTTAGCTTTTCACACCTTTTTTGAAAAAATGATCTTTAAACAGGCTACTTGTGAAACAATTCGGTCATACATCGTCTGTCAACTCCAACTCCATTCTCACATTGCTAAAAAAGTTGCAAATCAGACTATAATTAATGATTGCTTAACGGAAGAGGAAGTCTTCGCCCAGATATCCAGTATCGGATATCCTCTGGCTATACTTAAAGCCTCAAAACATTGGCCATTGGCCCCAGAGGCTAAATCGATAGCTGATGAGTTCCAAGATTGGTATAAGAGTAACATAAGGTTGACAAGACATTCTTAATTTCTGTAATTCCATAAACTCAGTTTACTGTCCAACCCTGATGCCATCACAGTCTGACACAGATTGGGAAATGTCTTCACAGTGTTTTCTGAGTTTGAAATGCATTGCTATCAAAAACCCAAGCAAGCTAATTAAACATGCCAGAGTGCAAATGGTCATTTGAGACACTGTTAAGAGCCATTTTGTGTGCCATGCTCTTACCATCAATATTCAAGGAGCTTTTAGATCTACACTGTTTATTACTACTGTATGCTCTGTTCCGACTGTGTCTTATTGTTCTCACCAATGGAACAGCGTTCAGCATTGGCTTTTGCCAGCCCTTCCTTATAACCCATGTGTCCCAGTCGGCTGCAGGCTTTGATGTGCCTGCTGTTCATTTCTTGCCCCTCTCTATCCTCCAGACGTCTTGGCAGCCTTCCAAGGCAGCATCTTGATATGAACCCTTGCTTCCCCTCCATGAACCTCTGGTCATTCTCACTCATTACTACTCGACACTCCGGCTCTCTTCGGCGCCAGCTGGGATGCATCTCATTAGATGCAGTTCATTTGATGTACCTGATGTTCACGCTGCGTTTGTCTTCACAGCTACCAGATACTTTGTTTGTTCTTTCATATCAAACACAAACAAGGATGCTCAGTCAGAAGTCATTGTTAAAATGATGATCCTTAAATTCTGTTCCTTTTTCAATTTTGTGTTGTTTGGTAGTAAGGACTCACTGTGGTGCACTTTATCCAGATATCACCTGTCAGTCAATACACTGTGGGTGGTACTGTATCATCTCTTTTCTTTGTCTGTTCAACCGTTGTCAATGTCCAACCTAACCACCTTTTATATACTTTAAACACACTCTAGTGATAAAACAGCCTATACCACAGGAAAACACTACTAGGTGTATACACTTTAATATACCAGCTCCAACACGTAGTATTTATAAAACACACCTATACATACAGATTATAAGATCAAGCCAAGTGTGATATGATGCATTTGAATTGAAAAATAAGTGGAGACACAGTATCTAACATGCAATAGAACCATGTGTATGCACAGCTGCATAAGACATTGTATATGCTAGTTTTGCTACACCAAATATCAGTTTAAATGCTATTGGGAC